ATTATTTTAAAAATATAATTACAATATATATTAAATAAAAAATTTTACTTAAATAATATTTAATTAAATTAAATATAAAAATTTTTCTTAATAAATTATTATATTTCTGTTTTATTAAAAAAATAATAGAGTTATTAAAATTAAACGGGAGAGTATATGCATAAAAAACATTAGTTGTATATATGTACCTTGACATCCTTGGGGGAGATAGGGATTTCCGATGAACCCGCGCTTGCACGAACAACGAAATCCACCACCAGTGTCGGAGTAAGAGCATTTAGCATTAGGGCCGCAATAATCTTGGCAGCCGTGCTGATCTCCGATCACCCATTCAAAAACCACGGGGTACATTGGAGCAGTTGGCGAATAACCAAGGAATTTTATTTTCGATATATCAAAGGAATTTGCAACCACTAAAGCATAACTGCAGGGGTTGAATTTCCAAACATATTCGTGCCTATATCTACTGACAACCGTAATGCTCAATTTGTTGAGGTGCTTGGGAATGGAGGTCTGGCAGCATCCAAAGCCGGAGCAAGAATCGTCCTTCCTGACTTCGGTAGGGTTATAGCAGAAGGTGTTGCACCCACTTCCGAACCTTCCTTCTTTGTTTTTAATTATGGCCAGCGTGTCGCAGCCCAAGCCAACAAACTTGTTGTGGATGGGGGATATGATGAAAGACCAATTGTTGGATATGACGAAAGACAAATTGTTGAACATGACACTCGCATCACTCCAATTCGACAAAGAACCATTGCTGTCGTAGCACTCGTAGGCAGAGCCAATGAGTCCGGTGATGGTGCCTTCTTCCAATGATATGTTGTTAATTGCAATTTTGCCATACAAGAGGCTGCTGCTCTGGTCGCATTCAAGCAGGAAGGTTGAGTTTTTGGCGCATTCAGGACGGCCAAATCCAAAAGGGAAAGGAACGCTGACGTTTCCACATGTTTGTGGGCAGTTTTCTAAAGAAATATTTGAACTTGCCGTAACGGTAGAAGATGGCAATATGACCATCATCACCACCATCCACAACAACAATTTCATCTGCATAATTTTTTGCCCTGAATCCTGTGTTTTTGTTTTTTAAATAAAGAGACAGAGTTGTATTATATATAGGCGGCAAGCTGAGTCAGGGCCGAAGACTCGTTATTGACTGGCTAGTG